TTATGATCTGATCTCTAGATTTAGCATTCAAACCTTTTCGACCAGTGGAAAATTTCAATTATTTAATGTGATTGTCTATTTACTTGATTAAAAACAGTATTTTTGAGAATGGAGAATTCGATTATTATTATTATTATTGTTTTTTTGTGAAATAAAGCACTAAATTGAAATATGTTTTTTAAAGATAATGTAAATTAGAGAGTGGGAAGTGAAGTGACTAGATAATATTTGAAAAAGGGCTATTGGGGTCCTGGTAACAAAGAAAAAGTAATTTAGACAATGAAGATTGGATGTTTAATGGCAAAACAAAATCTCATAATAACTTTACCGAGAGAAAGATGGAATAATTCGGCAAGCACTAATTGGAAGAAAAAGAAAAGTAAGAACTCAATAATATTACAAACTATCCACCTCACATAAAGTAACCCACCTATTGCATGTATAAGCGAGGAAAAAAGAAAAAGGGCACAATATTAAGAATTCACAATTAAAAAAGGTAATAATAAAAAAAAAGTAAAGGTACAGGATGCATGTAGTCTATTATACCAAGGTAATTGGTGAGGAATCGGCCATTGTTCTACAGGTTTTCCGAGAAAGGTGGTACGATTTGGTTCCTTCCAAGAGTTTGCTAAAAACTTCCTAGCATCCCCTGTATCACAGTCGATTTAAACAGTATAAAGATGGAATTTAAAGTTCTTAAAGTCACTCATTTGAACTTTTTTTATGACCAAAAAGTTTCGATATCCACATTCAAGTAAGATTAATCATTATCTTTGAGCACGATATTTTTGAATTACAAGATGAAAATTGAAGTGAGGGACCAAGATGAACTTCCTCTAAATAAATCAAGGATCTAATTCCATTATATAATATAAATGTCCACTGGTTTATAAATTTTCATCATCCTTCTAAAATAACTATACATCCCTCGCGTTAATCTCAGGCAACTCCAAATTCCTCTCTCTAACTTCACGTAAATTTTTTTATTTAATATTTTTTTAGTTAATATTTCTATTCATATATTTTGAATTTCGTTTGCTGGTCATTGATGTATACATTATTTTTTTTATTTTTGAGTTGGAAATGTTTGTATAATGAAAGCAGCTTTTGACAATATGATTTAAATTTGCGGATACGAGTAAGTGAGTATTGCTACATTTTATATATATATTTTTATTTATTTTAATATTATTATTATTTTTTTTTTTTTTTTAATGATCTGATCTCAAGATTTAGCATTTAAACCTTTTCGATCCAGTGGAAAATTTCGATTATTTTATGTAATTGTCTACCTGCTTGATTAAAAACAGTATTTTTGAGAATGGAGAATTTGATTATTATTATTATTATTATTATTATTATTATTATTATTATTATTATTATTATTATTATTATGAGTTAAAGTACTAAATTGAAATATGCTTTTAAGATAATGTAAATTAGGGAGTGGAAAGTAAAGTGACTAGATAATATTTGAAAAAAGGGGCTATCGAGGTCCCAGTGACAAAGAAAAAGTGAATTAGACAATGAAGATTGGATGTTTAAAGTACTAAATTTTTAATGACAAAACAAAAGCTCATAATACTTTATCGAGAGAAAGATGAAATAATTCGACAAGCACTGATTGGAAGAAAAAGAAAAGTTAGAACTCAATAATATTACAAACTATCCACCTCACATAAAGTAACCCACGTATTGCATGTATAAGCGAGGAAAAAGAAAAAGGGTACAATAATAAGAATTCACAATTAAAAAAGGTAATAATAAAAAAAAGTAAAGGTACAGGATGCATGTAGTCTATCATACCAAGGTAATTGTTGAGGAATCGGCCATTGTTCCACAGGTTTTCCGAGAAAGGTCGTACGATTTGGTTCCTTCCAAGAGTTTGCTAAAGACTTCTTGCATCCCCTATATCACAGTTGATTTAAACAGTATAAAAATCAAAGAAGATGGAAGTATGCCCAAATCTATTGATCAAATACTCGTTGATTCCATCGAATTTTCAAAATTGATTTAAGATTGTGATGTAGTTGACTCTAGACAAATACCGTGTTTGGTTGATTTCCAAAAAAATCTATATCAGATCCAAAAGAACTGGACAAATCCAAACCCTTTACAATTACTCATATTTTCTTCATTTAAACACATTTTCTGGAAGTTCAAAGGGAAATGTCAACAAAATGAAGGACATCACAATTCTCAAACAAATTAAAAGACTTAATTCATAAATAAACTAAAAGATAACATTTGAACGCGTGAACAATTGAATGTTGTACCAAGTTCTCATAACTCATGGCTGCATCACAAGTTCATAAATATAGTTGGCATTTTAAATCAAGAAAAGATGAAATAGCGTTAAAAGTCGTTCGACGTTTCTTTTTATTCCATGCACAATAAACGAGTCACAAAGCCTTAGTATATCGAAGGAAAGAGACAAAGAGTTGTAGTATACCTGCAAAACTCATGCTCTGTTTATTCTATTTGAATCGCCTGTGAGAGATGATAACTTTAAGCTCTTCATTTCCCATTTCTTCTTGTTCTTCCCGAATTTCCACAGCAGATTTTGCGATAGAGTCTCCGCATCTATATACCTCAATCTTCTGTAAGGTTAAAATATAACCTAAACTGGAAGGGATCTTATTCAAACAGTAGCAATTTCGCAACACTAATCGTTCTAGTTTGGGGTAATCATCACTTGTGGGATTCCATTCTGCACAGTCATACCGGCTTGCAATTTTCACATTATTTAGCTCGAAGAATTTGAGTTTTTGGAATTCACCTACTTCTGTGTCCCATTGCTTTTCCTTGAAGGAACCATTACGTAATTTGAGAACCTCTAAGTTTGGCAATCTCCCAATCATCCGAATTTTTTCCCACGACGAATCAAACTGCAATAGGGTCAATTTTTTGAGATTCAAGGGAAAATCGGGACCTGAATCTCTCATCAAACTGATCTCGAGAGATTCAAGTTGATTGGGGAATTGGAAAGGCCATTGAGACACGAGCTTGCATTTCAATTTGCGGAGATTGGGAGCACATCCCAAAACTTTTGCATCTATTTCATTATGAATAAGAAGTGTAGAAATAGATTGTAGGTTATTTATTTGGAAGCTTCCATCCGTAGTTGCTCTTAAATGAGAAGATTCACTGAAGCGTGCACCACCTCCAAAATGCAGACGTTTCAAATACTTCATGTTAAGAACAAAATCAGGTATTTCAACTTCATCTCTGTTCTCCACGTGAAGATATTCTAGTCTGTGGAGTTTTTCTATTAATGGCAGTTTAAGTTCTTCTTGAACTTTCAAGTACCTCAAGTGAACCAAGTTTTCAATTCCTTCACGTACATCTTTAAATGAACAACTGATAAATGAATCCCAATAAGGTCCTGACAAATCCATGACCCTGCGGCCTAACTGAGAGTGAACATATGGATCAAATGGTCTTAGGAAACAAAGACGCTGCATATCCAAGATACTCTTATCTTTCTTGCACTTCGAATATCCGCTGAAGAACCAATGTGGCGACAACAAAATCACATCCAATCATCATCAGAAGCAAAAACATCGTTAGTGTAACCATCAAAGGTAGTTACATTATCAATAATCTAGATAGAAAGTGAAGAAAGTGAACAAGGAAAGAACAGAGACAAAGAACTTACTTTTCGATCCCTCCCATAAAGTTTTCTTCTTTGGCTATCCTCAAGCATAAATCATGCAGTAGATCATGAATCCTGCAAGCTTTGACTCCACCATTTGATCTTTCTTCAGCAACTAGTACCAGACCCCTATTAATTAGATCCACTAGATAATCGAGTGCCACATCCTCTGAGCTCCTGTGGGTTTCTTTGTTTATAAACCCTTCGGCAACCCACAGAGATATCAACTTCTGTACTGGGATTACTTCATCTTCTTCAAATACTCCAAAATATAGAAAACATAGTTTCAAATGAACTGATAAATGCTGGAAACTAAGTTTCAGTATATGGACGCAATTATTTGTGCTGTCAAATATGTGTGCATTTAAATGTCGCGCTATTTCTCCCCATGAGCTCTCTTTCTTCTGCATATTTGCAAGAATGGAAGATATCATAATGACTGACATCGGTAGACCGTGACATCTTGAGGCAATATGCTGACCAATCCCTTGCAATTCTGGAGGGCAAGGTTCTGTTTGGAACACTTTCCGCTGTAATAATTCCCAACATTCAGCACCTGATAGGAACGGAAGTTCATTAACAACATTATCGAAACCCAATTCTTTGTTCCGAGATGTGAATAAGATTCTACTTCCTGTTATATCATCTGGAAAATATCTTCGCAAATCATCCCACGGTCTAGTGTCCCATACATCATCCATGACAATAAGGTATCTCATTCCTTTTAAACTTTTGTAAAGCATTTCAGCCAACTTTTCTTCCTCCATCTCCTTGATTGTTTGTCTGTTATGGTTTCTTGTCGATGTCAAAATGTCAATCAATGCATTTTTCTTCTTATATGTTTGAGAAACCACACACCAAGCACATATGTCGAAATGATGGACAATGGAAGGATCATTGAACAATTTCTTTGCTAAAGTAGTCTTACCAAGTCCAGGCATTCCAACAATGGAAATAATTTGTTGCTTTAGTGGTCCACTGGTGAGTTGATCAGAAATTTTGGTTTTCTCATCCTTGAAACCCACTAAATCGTCTTCCAAATTGTTAAGTTCTTTAGCTTGAGGCTGTACTTGCTCACATGGATATTCTTCTTCAGGTATTCCAGCATCAATACTACTGCTCTTCTTTTCTTGTATTGCCATCTTAACAAGATGAATCTTCTCGAGGAGTTGAGAGAGCCTGAGGGTGAGATATGAGGCAGGAGTAACCGAGTTGATAACATATGAAATTTCATATGCTAAGTATCTGGTTTTCATCGCAAGATCCTCAAGTTGTAAGTGCCGTTCCACGGCCATATAATTGAGGGTGGATCTCAACGATGACATCTTCTCATAGAGCGTTATGATTTGATCCTTCGCGGGGACAATCCTGTCAGCCTTATAATTGATCAGGTCCTCGAGATCATCAAGGAGAGAATCCACAGTGAAGAACGAAATCACACTACTCTTTGTAGCGACACAACCTGGTAACTTTGGGACTGTGGTGCAGTGCTCCTTGATCTTTGTTTTCAAGATCTCAAACTTTTGTAAGAAATCAGAAAGAGAAAAACTCAATCTTACAGTCTCCAGGACTCTGTCATCCCTTGTTGAAAATAATGAATATAAGAAACTTCCAACCTCATTGACAACAACTTCGATATCTGACAATATATTCTTTGTTACGTCCACCTCAGTGTGTAACGGTGCATCTCCAAGAAAGCTGATAAGAAATTCAAGTTCTGTCTGGAGGTTTTTGATTGAACCCTTGACTGGAACAATGAAATCTGGTTCAAGGCGCATAATTTCTTCTAAAAGTTGGACGAGAAAGTCAATAAACACCATGACAACTTCATTCGGATGGGGAGTAGGAGTAATCTTGGACATTCGCTGCTTTGGGATTGTGAAGACTACCCTCAGATCTTGCACAGTTGACATCAGTAACTCAAAGAATGCTCTGTATGCTTGAGGAGACCTAGAAATTTTGCAACTGATTGCTGAAAGCTTGAGTTCATCTGGTAAATCAATTTCTAGGTCATAACGGACGCATGGTTCCATATATACAGGGATAGTTGAAACAAGTATTCTCTGTAAAACAAATGTTTCAAATTTTTCATCTCCTTTGAGTGAATTTTCGATGTGATTACTGAATTCTCTAAAATTCATATTCTCCAATGCCAAATCCGAACTATTCATGTGAGACTCGTGTAGCATTTCAGTCATACAATACACATGAAAATGATACCTTTTGCACTGGGAAACATAAGACCATCCCGGAACATTGTTCTCAACACGAGGAATCTTCTTCTGTCCGCACATTCCACACTTTGATGAAAGCTTTGCCTCTAGATCAAATATCATACCATCAATCACCAGTTCCTTTACCAATTTTCCACAACATGGGTGTAAATCCAAGTTCTCTTCTTCACAGTGGTAGTTAAAACCGCATATGACCTTTCCACATGCATCGCAGATCCTTGAAAACTCTCTGCGATATTTTTTACCCAATCTGGTGAATGGCTTATAGTGAAATTTGAAGATGGAGCCACCAAAATTCTCATGGGAAACTTTAGATTTGGGTTGCCTACAGTCCTTGTGTAGTCCGTGACCACAGAGATTGCAAGTGTACCATTCTCCGAACCCGTTCATCTTGCAGCCGTCGCACCAGAACAACTTTTCATATGTTTTCAACTCATAGTGCTCATAACAATCATGGATTTGTGATCCAGTGGTCAACATGTTGTCTCCTGAAAATTTTTGGTACATTAATTAATGAACTAAATACACAGTATAATATCAGGAACTCGACTAGAATGAACAATAGAAGAAAGGTTCAAATATAGTACCTGATTTGCTCATGAAGATGAATGCTATTTCTTCAGCCAAATTCAAACAAAAGATTTGTAAAGAAGGAGGGTCTCTTTATGGAAAATACGGGGGAAACAATCCTAGTTATGATTTTTTTGAGAGGGGAACATCTTCCTATCTCACTTTCCACATTTTCTTCAATTTTTGAGGTTTCTTTCAATTTCTTAGTTTGAATCAGTGTCTCTTTATGGAAATTATGGGGGATGGACGAATTGCAGGGGAAGATGTATGTATGATTGTATTCTACTCAGAAAATATATATATAACAAAAGTCCAATTTTCATTACAAACTCTAAACAACTAAAATATTGAATTCACGGTTTCTCATAGGATTAATAATCATAGAATAATTGCCGACAACTGGAGACAGCAATGATTGTATTAAAATGAAGAAAAGCAGAGTTCAAATGAGGAATCTTCCAATGTTCACACCATGCGGTAGGTGTAATAAGTGATTTCAGTAAGTCATTTTTTTTTTCAAATAATAGAAATAAATCAATAAACTATATGAAGGAGAAAAAACATAAAACAAAAATTTATGTGAACACACGGTTTTCAACTTTCACGTTCAATAATTAGGTTTAAACTTATTAATTCAAAAATCATGTCATAATTCAATTTTTTAATATTATTAAACCTCTGTTTGCAGCCCATTTTAGGCCTATTTTTAGACAATTTCGGATCATTGCACAATAATTTTTTGCATTCAATTTCTACTGTTTTCGGCAAAGAAATGACTATAGCCTGTCAAAAAAAATTCTTTTGGCCTTTAGCTTTCCCTTGTGTTGCCCCTAACACTCCCAACTAGTAAATCAAGTAAAACAAGGAAATGAGGGTAAAATTGGAAATTTAATTTTTATATACCAAGAAAATATCTACATCGATTGGACCCTCTTGATTTGACATGAAAATGCATTCTCCATAACTAATGGCGCTCCCAAACATTTATGTTTGCAGCGTGTGGACCCTCTCTCTCTCTCTTTCTCTCTCTCTCTCTCCAGACCCGTCCGACCACCGTCGCCAGAAACCTCGCACTACCTTCTCTTGTCGTACCTAGTTTAGATCAATCAACGAGGGCTCCTCATTGTGTATATACATATATCCAAAATATATCGCTTCTTCCCAAATTAATATATTACTATAGTCTTATTGTTGGGCAAATCTACACTTGACTGTATTATGCTAAAATGGAAGATATCGAATACTAAATACTAAACACAAAACTCAAATATAATTTAAAAATTATTTTGACAGAATTTAGAGAGAATGAATTAAAAATCAATTATTTGAAATTAATTTGAAATGAAGAAAATGGAATTAGGAATGTCATATTTATAAATTTTCACGTGTCATTTCATATGGTCGAATCTTTCGTCAAATTTAATTTTAACGATTAGATATCACCATTTCAAATTTACTGTTGTAGAAAGCATCCTATCAAAAGGTCACAACCATTCTGAAACAACATGATTCTTTGATACGAGTCCTTTACCTAATAGTTATACGAGGATGATCTTAGGTTTATAAAGGAATCAAACTGCTTTACCTAATAAATTATACTGAAGATAAATATCTCACATCGCAAAAATGTGAAGTAAATCTACAATTTAAGATATTGAACAACTTCTTTTAACAAAGTTCATATTTTAAGATGAAACTCTAAGTTTTGATATGATATCAAGACTCATTGAGCCCTTGTTTGACAATCATTATTTGTAGAAAATAGAGTTTTGAATAATGATCTTTAAATGTATGTGTGGTTAAAAAATATGGAAAAGTTTTGAATTCAAGTGTTGAATAAGTTATTGTATGAATATGTAGTTGAAAATGAGCGTGTGAAAAAAATGATTTGAAAATAATAGTTGTCAAACATGAGTTAGGTTTTAACAAGCAATATGAATCAAAAACTTTTCCATAGGATTAATAATTATAGAATTTAAATATAGAATTGCCGACAACTGGAGATAGCAATGATTGTATTAAAATGAAGAAAAGCAGAGTTCAAGTTAGGGAATCTTCCAATGTTCACACCATGTGGTGTAATGGTGTATAGGTGTAATAAGTGGTTTCTAATTTTCTATAAGCCATTTTAAAAAAATAAATAAATAATAGAAATAAATCAATAAACTATATGAAGGAGAAAAAAATAAAACAAAAATTTATGTGAACACATGGTTTTCAACTTTCACCTTCAATAATTAGGTTTAAACTTATTTATTCAAAAATATTAACAATCATATTCACTCTTTCAACTCCTCTCTACATAACAATTCATCTTTTCTCCATTTACTTTTCTCCATTTACTTTCGAGACCCGCTTTCTCCAATCTCTCTCTCTCTCTCTTCATATCCGTCCGACCACCATCACCGAAAGCCTCCCACTACCTTCCCTCTCATACCCCGTGTAGATCGATTAACGAGGGCTCCTCATTGTGGATCGATAAAGCCCATGCATATTCAATGGAGAAGCTCATGTGCAAGCATGGGTACTTTCGTGCCAAATGGGGACAGCTTTCCTCACATAACTGAAACTCTTTTAGAATTTAATTTGGACTCGTTCTTGATCTAATTTTTGATGGCTATAAATACAAAATCAAGGGATCTTTCTCACCTCTTACCTCTAATATACGTAGCAGTTTCTTATTTAATACATGAGATAGTAAAAAACTACTACATTAATACATCAAATAACAAACCGTCAAATATTCAAGTTTCACTTTCTGCTAGTTAAACCGTAAAACTTATTGTAGGCTCAGTTTAATTTTAACACTGTAATGGAAGAAATAAATATGTCAAATTAAGAATGCAAGCATTATTAGAGGTTCATCGAATGTTTCTAAGCAGAATGTTAACAGTGATTCATGTGTTTCTAAGCAGAATGTTAACAGTGATTCATGCACAGAAATGAAATATATATAAAATGAAAAAGAATCCCTTTTTAGATTGTTAGATAAATTGGTGAATAACTTATATTTCACTAATAAAAAATACTTCCACGCAAAGGTGATAAAATCACGACTTAACAAACGAAATTAAAACGAGGTATGCAATTGCAAATCACCTTAAGATGGATTTCGTACCTGACACTGGTGCTAACATGATAAACTAGATGTATATTTTCCAAGATATAACACTACTTTCAAAATTAATATAGCATAGTATTCATTTTGTTGGCCAACCAAAACTTGACCGTACTCTTCTAAAATGGAAAATATCAAATACTAAATATTAAAAATAAAACTTAAATAAAATTTTTATAAATTATTTTGATAGAATTTGGAGAGAATGAATTAAAAATCAATTATATTTGAAATTAATTTGAAGTGAAGAAAATGGAATTAGTAGGTTCATATTTATAAATTTTCACGTGTCTTTTTGTGTGGTCGCATCTTTCGGCAGTAATTAACTTTAACGATTAGATATCACCATATCAAATTTATTGGTATAGATAGCACCTTATCAAAAGGACACACACATTCCGAAATAATGTGATTATTAGATATGAGTCCTTTACAATTAGAGTGTTATGTCTAGTAATCACATTCATTGAAGACTTTATAATTCACACATTTAAATCGTATATATGTTAAACTATGAATTCCAATAGGACCATCTCCACATTCAGCATCCACAACGCATTCAATTTAAACACCACGGGTCTTGCATCACCATCCAATCAATTGATGAGAATAGACTTTGTCAAACTAGTACACCAACTTCCAATGATGAATTGAGGTGAACCTAATTCTTGTCCAACTTAATGTGTCAAATTTTGACCTTCAGTACACCTTAAGAGTAAATCATGAGGGAAAACTCTAAATAAGTGCTTCATTTTAATGAAAATGTTTTAGCCAACGTTGTAACAACCCAATTTTTAAAGATTTGAATCGTTACCAAAATTTTTAAAATAATTTTCTTTTTTTATGCAAAGCCCAAAATTTATATAACTTCGTCAATTTTTTTTTTTTTTTTTTGGGGGTAATGTTATGCGGATTGCAATGTGACCAGCACGTTGGGTCTTCTTTTTTATATGTCAACTTAACTTGGAGTTGTCATCTTTCTGACAAAATCCATGTGATGGTGGAGTGGTTCTTTCTTATTATTTAAGGACCCCCCCTAACACCCTCAATGTAAAAGCCCTTACCGTCGACTCCAAGCATCAGTGTATATATACAAGCACCCCTCAAAAGTATCCTATACCATATAATATTGCATAAAGTGCACATCCATCTAGCATTTTCGTGAATAGTGAAAAAAAATACTGTTCACATCGGTTTTTGTTTTTATAGACCGCTCACACCGTGAACAGTAACATGGGGTACTTGGTCAATCGATTTATGGTAGACCGCTATTCCTACATATTTTTTTAGAAGGTTTTTGATCTATAACCGACCGATTTTATACCAATTCAAGATTTGTTGTACTGAATTAGTCGGTTAGATCTGATTTTCAGAACATTAATTATTACACCCTAAATATTTAATCAAAATAAATATTATAATCAATCATAAAACCCAAAAAAAAAAATAATAATAAATCACCTTCCAATTAAAAGGTATGAGTGATGTATGACACTATGATTGGCTAAAATGATTTGGGACCCAAAAAATTCGGTTGAGCGCCATCCCTATGCGGTTTAGATACATTTTTATTTTTTAGAATTTTGGACTAATCCACTATCGGTTCAGATATTCCTATATTTCAGTTCAAATGAGGGAATCTTCTAGTGTTCACACCATGCGGTATATGGGTGTAATAAGTGATTTCTATAAGCCATTTTTTTTAATAATAGAAATAAATCAATAAACTATATGGAGGAGGAAAAACAAAAACAAAAATTTATGTGAACACATGGGTTTTCAACTTTCACATTCGATAATTAGGTTTAAACTTATTTATTCAAAAATCATGTCATAATTCAATTTTTTAATATTAACAATAATATTATTAAACCTCTGTTTGCACTTTGCAGCCCATTTTAGGCCTATTTTTAGACAATTTTGGAGAGTAATTTTTTGCATTCAATTTCTACTGTTTCTTTCCACCTTTTCTTCAATTTTTTAGGTCTCTTTTTGGAAAATACGGTGGATGGACGAATTGCAGGGGAAGATGTATGCATGTATTCTACTCCAGAAAATATATTTATAACAAAAGTCCAATCTTCATTTACAAACTCTAAAATACTAAGTCAGTCATCCATTTTTTCTCATTCTTTTTTTATATTACTCATTTGTAATCATACATTTTTTCATTAAAATAATATTACACTCGAATCAAAAAAAAAATTCTTCTTTTTTAATCACACATTCTCTATCAACCATTATTCCATTATATATATATTTTTTTCAAATTAATGGGGGCACATACAGAACCTAAATATTGAATTATTATTATTATTATTATTATTATTATTTATTTTTTGGGGGT